AGCAGCAGCAGCAGCAGCAGCGCTTCTGCTCGGCTAGCTGTCCTGCCTTGTGTGTGGATGTCATTTGATGAGAGTGTGTCTTTGTTGTTGAGGCTTCTGGCCTTAAGAGCGGCCTTGCACTTTCAGCTCGGACAGAAAGAGCTCCGCCCACGTCCTCCCCGTCTTTCCGACACCTTCGCAGCCATCGACCTGGGAGCTTCCCTTGGGCTCAGGCACAGGTGGAAGAATGCCGTCTGGTGCTGGAGGAGTATGCCTGCAAGGCAGAGATCATTTCGGAAGTTGGTTTTCAGACAGACTTTGAATTTTGAATGGATGCCTCCTGGAGTCTCTTTTCGTCCTCTTGGGGTGATCATTTCCTTGCGTCCTTGCCTGCTCTGGTACCATGGTCAGAAGAACACCATTTCGCAGGGTCGCCGGCAAGGGGGCCCTCGCTTTGAGACGCTTTCGACAGCCCAACGCCCAAGCTCTCGCGCACTCCGCGAAGTTCAAACTCCCAACCCGTTTGCTCGGACTTGTGAAGGCAATGCATGTAGAAGAGGGCCCCATGTCTGTCGTGATGCATGCCTACTGTACTTGGAGGAGGGTGTTACATCGATGTCTTGGGATTCGAAGTACATGTCCCCATCCGTTCCGATCTTCCGATGGGCCCAGTAGAAAATCCCAGTACCTTTGTTTTCGAGATAGTGTACTTGGTTTTTTGTCATGAGCCCCCCGGAGCGAACAGCAACGAATAATGCACTTAAGCTTCAGGGCCTGGTGGGCGACTCAGCAGGTACATAAGTGGTTGGGGGGTGGTGCACTGACTACAGTCTTATTTCAGGTACCCATGCGGGCTTCCTTCAGCAGTGCTTTCGAAGTCAACGGAGTAATAAATTGGTTCAACTTTCTGCTACGCTTTGTCTCGCACCGAGGTCAGAGCAGAACTTCCCAGCGTTAGAAAGTCCTCTGCCGTACGGCCGTCCGGTCAGGTCTCACTAAACAGAGCAGAGTGGCAGCCTCAGCATTTCGTCCCAAGCCACAAGGTGAGGTCGCAGTGGCGGCCAACAGGGAACAGCAGATCACATCGAGAGCAATGCATCTCCTCGATCTGGGGATGACATTGGCCACAAAATCGCGTAAAGCTAGTCTGTGGCTAGATCTGAGCGATCCGAAAGAGTGTTCATACGACTCAAGCCCCGAAGCATATAGCCGGAGCCTCGAGTCCATGCCAGGAAGGTCGACTCCAATCCTCTTGCTGCAGACCCACAGTCTACATCCCAATCCCTGAACATAAGCAGTCATCCAAAGCAAGCTGATCAATCCTTCTTCTACGGGAGCCCCTGCCGAGTCTTTACTACACGAAGATGAAGAAACTGCAAGAACGAGTCTGCAAGTTGCAGGAGCAGGCGCGTTTGTTGGGATCAGGATGGAGAAGTCGAGGTTGGCTAGCGCTAGAAGCCTGTTCAGGCAATCCTGTTTTTGATGATTCGGCACCCCTGAACATGCCATCTAACATCTCAGCACGAATGACGATCCAGTTTGAGAAGGTCCCAAGCCTTATGAGCGAGTTTAGCGTTCACCTGGATGTTCCACGTTGTTTGATACCCAAACTCCAGATCAAGACAAACTCGCCGAGGATATATTTCGAGCTACTTTCGGCAGCCTTTCGGGTGGAGCGTTGATTTTGGTGCTCAGTTTCAGGGGATTTGGGATCACCCTGTGGACGCATGAAAAAACAAGCAGAAGTTCTCGGCGCCGCCTCCCTGGTGCTTCGAGGTGAAGAAGCAGCACGTGCATGAAGAAATGATGGAGTCCCTTGGCCCAATAGCCGTAGGGCCGTGGGCTTCTGGCTTTGCTGCATACAGGTGTAGGGGGGGGGGGGTTCAATGTTCCAGCTGCTTCTAGTCTTTTCATGGGCGTGATGAGGGCTTTATCAAAGCTAGAGTAGCTAGAGCAACCATACATGCCCGCAGACTCGTTCACATACCTGGTTATACTTGATCTTGCACCACTATTTCTAGGATGGACGTGAGATGGGATGCCACATAGCACCCACATTGCCCAAGTTAAGGCTAGCAAGGTTAAGTTTGGGCCGTGCAGCCAAAGCCCGTGAGCGGTTGGGGCAATTCCGGCCAAAGCTGAAACGTAAGCTCACCCCGTAAGAGCCAAAGTCATTAACATCATTGTCCACGTGGTAGTACCGGTTCCTCTGTTTGGCAGTGAGTCTTGCCGAGGCCGAGGCCCACCCAATAAACTGAAGGCCCAGTGCCGAACCCCTCATGACCCCCAAACCCATTTGCCCCCAAAGGCCGCTGAGACCTCCCTCACCGATCCACACACGCGACCAGTGCCACACAAGGATGCCACTGTCCGATTTCCCGGGCTTGGCAGCCACGGCCAGGGCCCGATTGGCCATGGAAAGTCTGAGGGCTGAAGGCTGGGTCTGAGTTTCAGGGTCTTCCCGGGCTTGGAGGATGCGGGATCTCAGAGTGAATTTGAATTGTAGGGCCTTGGTCCTGCTGGTCTTGAAACCCTGAGACCCCACGCAAAAACTCGTTTTGTCGGCTCGGGGGTGTTTTCATCAAGCGGGAAGAACTTGGTAATGATACTGTCAAGAAGTACAGCAACTACTGATTCAAGTAAATTAAAACAGGACAAACCGCATCATCGACCCTGGTTTTGGTGGATGCAGGGTGCCACAATCGGTTGCTTGTTCATCTGCAATTCCACCTCTCCACCCGACGCCACGATCTCCAAAGGCTCAGAAACCACAGATAAGGCCGCTTGGAAAGCTGGCAGCGTAGCGAGTTGCAATTCTTTGAAGCGCCTTAAAGTCTTGACATCGCCCCACGCGAACGTTGCTAGCATTTTTTGGTCTCTTTCGTTTCTGACCACTGAGAGCCAAGGCCGAGCAGCTTGCACCTCTCCTGGACCTCTGGTACCTGGCCCATGCCAGACCCCGAGCCTTGAGAGAAGATCTCTCAAGTTTTTTGCATCCCGGAAGTGCCGAGTCATGATTCATCACACGGCAACACTTGCTACTGCTGCTGTTACGATGACGACTAACAACACCACCTCTACTCCCTCTACCACCGCAACCACCGCTACCACCGCTACCACCGCTACCACCACGGCTGCGGCGACGACGACGACTACTGCATGGCGTTGTCAGCGGCAGCGGACGTAGTCATTGTACTTGTGGTGGTCAATTGCAAGAGAGCTTGCATGAACTGATGTTACAGTTGACTGTCCCGTCTCAACTGTGCATCCCTGAACTTCCGAAGCCCTAATCTCCAAAAGCACGACCCCTTGTATTCTCGGCTCCTGATTTCTCATTCCAAGTTTCAATGCCTATGTCGGAATTCAATCGTCGAAGGAGTGGACGCATTGGAAGGAAAACATCCTCTTCGACTATTTCGTCCCGAGCCCAGTCCCTCCTGAAGGTTGAGAGTTCCCGGTACAAGGTTCAACACGTCTGATTTGTAACTTCGGGCTTGTTTCGTGGAGGAATGACGCTGGGATGGCAACAACGCCTGGGAACCCTTGGTCTGAACACAGTAGAGTCTGGGAGTAGTGTGCCTTCATCGTCTTGTTCGCGTACCCTAGAAGTGAGTTGGAACTGTTTCTGCTCGGTGACGAGTGTTGGCCCAAGTTTCGAACCTTAATTTGTAGCTATGGTGAAGGGTGGCGATCTTAGCACGACTTCCAGAAGCTCTAGCAATGGTTGTTTCAAAGCCACCAGTCCTTCAGAGCCCGCTGGTGAGATGCGGACTTGCTCGAGGGCGATCGTGCGGCGAACACTGTCGGATTGGAGTGTCTATGCGGGTATGTTGGAAGGCTGACTCCATGCATAACGAGAGAAAAGGGTCTGGAAAACCAATCTCTTTGTCTTGTTTCTGCCGGCTCAAGCCAAGAGCCTCCAGCTCGCAACTGAAGCACCCAGCAGGCGACCCTACCAAACACCATCCTCGTAAAATGTCACCATTGCAGGAACATGTTCACCTAGCTGCAGAGATGAAGCCAAGCTTGCCTCGTGCGTTTTAAGTCCGAACCCTACTGAAGTAAGCGGCCCATCGCCCCTTGTGCCTTGAGCCCCGTTTACAACCCCTTTTCTGCTTGCGGCACCGGGCCGGGACCATGATGCGAAACATGGGCTTCGGGAGCCAGGGCCAAGCGAGCTCCCAGGAGCCCAGGGCCTACGAGCCGACCCGGAAACATCGGGTCTTTTGCTGCCGCCTCTGCCATCTTTTTTGGGCCTCGAAGACTGGCAGGACTGCTCCATACACGTCTGCACGATCTGCCGTGCTCCGATCAAGCTGTCCTACTTCGTCCGGCCCTCAGCTGCGGATGTGCGGGGAGCCAGCTTTCAGTTCTAACGGTCAGCGCAGCCAAGCAATCGTGACAGCTGCCCAAGGAGGAGCAGTTCCAGTTTCGTCGTCGTCGTTGCCGTCGCAGTAGTGTAGTAGTCGTCGTCTTCATGGTCGCAGTATGGTGGTGGTGTTGGAACTTGTAGTGATCCGTCATGCCGAGGTTCGTGCCATAGTAGCACTCAGAAAGGGTGCTGCGTGTGGCTCGAGCTTTGGGGTCGGTCTTGCGAGAGCCCAACATCATCCTTGCACCTAAGCCCTCTACACCCCGAACCTCGCCACGCCTAGACCTCGGGGTCGTGGGTTCGGGGCCCGACGATTGGAGCACCTGGGGGCCCTGCCACCCAAGTGTCCGACTCCTCTTAGAATCCGGAATGATGGAATCAAGATGCAGGAGCTTCGTGTCAAGCCTATCTGGAGTCATCTCATCCCGATGTGTGTGAGCAATGAACAAGAGAAAGGATCAGGCGCAAGGGCAGGGGCACGGGCACCGTGCACTCAAATTCAAGTCCCGATCGTTGGAATGCGAGTTGAGGTGTTGTTCTTCTTCATGCCTGGCACCAAGTTGCCGCAGACGAGGACAGCTAGGTTCAGGTTTTGGAACGTCCAGCACTTGGGATTGGGGTTTGGGATGTGAAGTCTCGCGGCTTGGCCGCGCATGCTCGTGGCATGTGATGCCCTTCACATCGGCAAGTTGCAACGAACATGTTTCAGATTTTCACCGGGCCAAGACACGAACCAGAAATGAGACGGTAACTGCACGACTGTCAGTGTTATGCCTTGCGCGCTTTGTGTGGAAGTCTCACTCATTTCCGAAGACACTGACTACCTCCCTTCTGAGTTGAACGAGTGCTCCGTGGTTTAGAGCTCCTAGGTCCTGGATTGTTTTGACCTCTGTGTCTACGGCCCAGGTACGACTTGATCAACATTGGCCGGAGGGGCGGCACAGACATCCAACTCCTCTGGAGTGCTTCTTGCACGAAGCGGGCAAGGGCCATTAGGTTTGGAAGTTATTGCTTTCGGGCAGCAGGCCCAAGCATGAAAGATGTGCTACATAATGCTACGGCAGCACAAGCCAATATCGCCTGTGAACTCGCGGTTGCTAGAGGTTCCCTAATCCTGGCTTCAGCGTCTCCGCGTCGCTTCTGAGGTACTCCGTGCTTTTGCAAACGAGTGCGTGCTGCTGCTCACAATTCTGTGTCCGGTGCTTGGGAAGTTCGGAAAGTCCGCAGCAGCATTAACAGCGGCAGTTGCCAGAAAACAGGGATCACTTCAAGACCACTGCCCGACGACAGCCGACAAAAAAGGTCACCACATACAGACTGACTGTAGCATCAACAGAACTCGCAAACAAGGACACAGAGAGATAGATGAGCACCTCCTCCCATCGTCATCGAGGGTCTTGTGCAGCACGAGATTGTCCACTGATCATGACGGTGCCTGCTTCTGCCAAGGCCATGAGTTTGGGCACGGCAATATGGCGAGATATCTGGGTGGCGAGATTAGCCGCTGAGATCTCTTCATTATCCTATGCACTCGTGTTTGGCATCTATGACCCCTGCAGCAAAGCTTAGTGAACTAGTCTTGCAATGGGTTTGTTGTGACTTTCAAGCCTGCTGCCAGCCCAGGCCACATCTTACTTTGGGTCTTCGGTGGAATTTGTTTCCACACGCGACCACGTGACCTGGCTGTGCTCTCACGGACACGAGCACAAAGGAAGAACAGGTCCTCCATCCGATGTGAGTATATTCATGCTGGCGATGAGGATGATGTCGGTGATGATGATCGTATGCATGATGACAAGAACGGCATATGACCGCAGTGGTAGTGTGAGGGTGATGGTAGCGGCCGTGATGATGACGAAGAAGCTGCTCCTGCTGCTGCTTCCGCTGCTGCTGCTGCTGCGGCTGCTAGGATTAACATGGGCCATCATGAAGAACATGATGATGAAGCTGGTGTTGTTTGGTTGCTGCTGCTCAAGACGGCGATTCTGTTATTGCTGGAGATAGTGATGCTGCTTGGCAGGGTACTCCCGCTGGTGATGACTCCGATGGCGCTAATCAACATGAGTATGAAAATAGTAGTTCTTCCAGCATGCCAGCGAACGGCGAGAGGAAGCTGAAAACACAGGTGACTGTTGAGATGAAGATTATTGGTTATTGTAGATTGTAGTCTTGGCTTGTTTGTCCGGCACTTTCCGATATTTTGGCTATCGTCGGCAGCGTCGTTGTCGTGCAGCAGCAGCATGAGCGGTGAGGATGCTGGTGGTGGTGGTGGTGGGGGTGGGCACAGCACGTGGTTACGGAAGCGATGCTGCTGCCCTTTACACTACAAATTGTTAGAACTCGGCAGATGGCTGAGGTGCCGTCAGACATCCTTCTGCCTCGTGTCAGGCTTATGTGTATTCTAGTTCCCGTGTTAACACCGAGGGGATAAAAACGTCCTAGTAAAGCGATAAGATGCGGTGTTTTCGAACATGGTGAATTGCATTTTGTGGAGTGGGTGGAATGTCCGACTCTCATTTTGTCGTTCAGATCTCTCCGAGCCACCTGCTCCCAGTGCTACACATGTTGGAACCATGGGGTAATCTTTGGAGCCTCATGGTTGCTTCTGGAATGCTTCTTGGATCTGTAGGGCTTAGAGGCTTCGAATACCTTATACTGCTGGGTGCAATCTGAGTCCACTGTGGTAGGAAGCCTTAGCTTGGTACGTTCACTCAGTTGCGGCTTTTCTAGCACCTCGCAGCCCTGCAAGGGTCGCCCCAGAGAACTTGCCGCCAAGCCCAGGCAACGACTCAGCGGACAACACGGCAGCTTGACGAAACAGTCCGGAAGCCTTCAGGGAGAGCCAGTTTGTTTTTCGGATTCCCAGGGTGTGGATTCAGGGGCAACGCCTTGCATGCGGTGCTGAAGCTTACGCATAAGTCATCCCGGTAGAGAAGACGGACGGATTCTGCGTGGAATGCCAGTGGCTACTAATACTGAGTACTGCCAGGGTCACACCGACATATACCCATAGGTGGCGCAAGTTGAACTGTGACATTAAGTGGCGGGGGAGGCGTGCAGGTGTTGTTTGTGTGCTGGTTCGATCTCATTTGTCGGTGACATCCGTCATGGCTGTCCTGTGGCAGATTCTCCTGAAAAACGACTTGATGGTGGTTGCCGCAGGCTGCGCAGGGAGGACATGGCGTTTGCAAGGTTTGCCTAGAATCTAGAAGCTGCCATGACATGACCTTTTCGCCGGTGAGTTTCAGGTTCTCCGACCGAGCAATTCTGAGTTCTTCTGCAAGGGAGTCCAGCCGAAGAAAAAAACTCTGCACCCTCTGCTCTCCAGTCCTTTGCACAGACTTAGAGCATCGAACTCCGAGGCAAGAAAAGACCCGAGGAGGCTAAAACGCCCCCCGCCGTGGAGGCCCCTCCACGCACTTCGTCCAAGCGCCTCTTTGGGGCCTGGTACTCTGGCTCCTCTACATTTGGATCGAAGCACAGGCCTCGTGGATTCCATGGACTTGGAGGTGTCAGTGTTGTAGATTGCAAGGTTTCGGGTGCAGGGCTTGTCTGTCCGGAAATGCGGAGGCCAACCTTCGGACAGACCTCCAGGGTTTGAGCTTAGGATTTGGGAATACGTAGGGACTGGCGGAAATGTTGCGTTCCCGATTCCTTGTGGTCACTGCAAGATCTTCGCAGCTCAGGGGGAAGCACTGAAGGTCTTCGGCCACGGCACTTCATGGGATCAGGGAGAAGTGCATTTTTGCAATTTTCCCGGCTTGTTTGCGGATCATTGGATCTTCGTAAAGATCCTGCAACAACCCCATAAACTCGAAACCTCTGACTCCTAGCCACAGGCCGCCGGTTAAAGCTCCTTAGGTAGCCCCCGAAGCATCCGAGCGGAAGCCGAAGGGCGGCTCGACGGGCTATCCCTCCGCTTGGGCTGCCTTCACCGACTCTCTGAATCCGCTTGGAGGCTGGGCTTTGCTTTGGCTCTGCAGGGATGGGCTGCCACCTTTTCTTAATTCTAGAAGCATAAAGGCATAAAGCAGTCTCCGAAAGCCCATCGCTTCCACAGACGCCTGACAGTGTTGTGAGAGGTGGCGCATCCTGGTTCTTGGTAGACATCACCATCAACCAGTGGATGGGATTGCTGTGGAGTGTCGTCGCAAGTGCCATCTCCCTCAACGTCGCCACTGGGACAATCGGTGCCTTAGGTAGTTTGGGAAGTAAGCTTGCAGAGGGTTCCTGTCCTTTGAGGAGATCAACTCCCTATCAAAGTCCAGCATTCAGAGTTCGGAGACGGCCTTGGTCTGTACATGCCCAAGGCTCTGTTCCTCTTCAATGTCTTCTTTCCCATGTACCCCGCCGACGGCGCGAAACTTCTGGTGCCTCGGACTTGAATTCATTGGAATCCGGCCAAGCGAGCACCAAGACTGGTTTTTTTGTGCTTGTTGTTGATTGGGCATCTGCTTGGACGGCCTCTCAGCACAGGTGACGAGCCTCATGTTCTTCTGCGGCGTCCCCGCGCGGAAGGCGCCGGGAACTGCCCCCGACTCCGACAAAAACCCTTCCTGGAGCTCTCGCCTGCTGGGCCCAGCCCCGGGCTGCGGCCCCGTTGCGCGCTTTGAGGCAGCCATGGTCCTGATCTGCACCTCCGTTCCCTGCGCCCTCGCCATGATCGTGGCCCGGTGGCAGTCCTCGAAGAAAGAACACCAAGCTGCCGTCATCTGGAAAGCGTTACGTGAACCCCCAAGAGGGAGACTACTTTAGAACACACCTCCAGGAATCCCGATGGCTGCAAGGACGTGGGGCCAGGAATGAAGGTCGTCACGAAAACACACTAAACATCCAGAGGGATCCCGCAATGTACCCCAACTGGTTCTACCAAGGCATGGTAGTCGGCCCAACAGGTGCCATGCATGATGCTTTGTTCATGATTCATGATTCTTGTTAGAGGCATAACCAGTACTCCTAGTGAGTTATTCTTTGTGCTAGTATCCTTGTCGGCTCGGCAGCCTCTGCCAGCCTTGACAGGAACCCAAGCACCCATACTGCCTGCAGCGACCAGCCTAAAGGGTTTAGGAACCCACAACAAAGAAGTCCCAAAGCCCAATCTCTGGAAGTTCAATTGCCGGCCCTGAGGGCTACACCGTCTACGCTCTCTTTGAAGCGGGCGTGCGTGGGCTGGGGCCTTAGTGCAGCGCCTCAATGCCACTACCCGATTGATCGGCGAATTGATCAACTCGTACCTAGAAAGACTCAATGGTCTCAGTATCCGAGATTCGCAGGAGGCACAGTCACCGGCAGAGAGAGAGAGTTCTGCTGACCAAGGCTCATGGGTAGCTTGATGGGCTGGATGGGAGTGATGAGTCTGATGGAGGCTGCACGGCAGTGCTAGGCTGTTGCAAAGAGATGCATGAATCCGGACGACAGGCTCGGAACATCTACAAGCTGCGCAAGGCCCATCCTCGGACTGCTAGAGAAAGTTTTTGTGAGCTCGGGTAGGTTTGTGGGTGCAGCCTCAATCGTGCGTGCAAGTGCTGCAGCAGTTGCTTGTTCCGGGAGGTGAAAAGGTTCTCAAGTTTTCCTTGCTCCAATGTGCATGACGCGAGCCCCTCAACTGGCCGCAAACATCACTCTCTGCCCTCAAGTCGAGAAGAGGCCCTCGTGCAAGGGCCCGTAGAATCCCAGCCAGGCGCGCCAGCTCCACACCCACCCGCTCTTCGAGGCAGGGCACGTAGCAGCTACAAGGGGAAGGAACATCATTAGGAACAGCAATCAAAGAGCGGCATGCAAGTGTACGATACCTGCGTGACCAGTGGCAGCGGCAGCGATGGGAACCGTGATCACGGCCTAAAACCCAAGAACCCAAGAGACCAGTAGTAGGAAAGTCATCGCATCCTGTCTTCGAAATGCACTTCTCGTTGCGGCCACAACGTTTGTGTTTCGCGTTGATCGAGGGCTTCTCCCCACGCCAGGGAGCTGAAGTTGAGATTCGAGCAACATCATCACAGCATACGAAGAACTGTTCTGCAAGCAAAAGTTTTGTTCACAGGACCGCGGCGTTTTAGCAATGAAGGTCGGAGAGCGTAGCTAAAAGCAGCGGCGCCACATGCTTCTGTTGCTTCCCACAAGGCATGCTCCAATCGACCCAACCGCCCCTCAGCCATGACCCGAGCCCCAAAACCGAAGTCGGCAGCCTCAACTTTAAGCAGGTCCTCAAGACCCAAGGCCCAAGGCCCTCAACCCGCTGCGTCGCAACAGTAAACTGAAGCCCAGCAGCAACTCACCAACAGTTTTTGTACTACGAGGTCGCCAAGTCCTGGCGGCGCGCGGAGCGCGATGCCTTCGGTGTGGTTCATCGGATTAACCATTCCGTTCCCCGGCTCTGGATATTGAATTGCTCGCTAAGAACTGCCTAGTCGCAGTACTCCAAGTAACATCTGCAACGTTATTGACGCGCACACGCACGACAGACACACACACACACACACACACACAAACACAAACATTCACGCAAACACACACGCAAACACACACACACACACACACACACACACAAACACACACACGCACAAACACACACACACAAACACATACACAAACACACACACAAACACACACACACACAAACACACACAAACACACACACACACAAACAAACTACACACACACACACACACAATCACACACACACAAACAAACACACACAAACAAACACA